TCACTGAAGACAGATGTGTGCATAAGAAAATGTGGTACTTTCAATATTCTTTATTAGCACCATAACTCAAATTTTTGTGGATTCTTCTGTCTTCCTTATGCAATGTCCAACTTTCACATACATATATGAGATGATTGAAAATACCACAACTTGGTTCAGGCACACCTTAATCCTCAAAGTAACATCCTTGCTTTTCAATACTCTACAGAGGTCTTGTGCAGCATATTTATCTAATGCAACACATGTTTTGTTCTCCTGACTGATGCTTCCATCAGCATTGATTGTGGATCCAAGCAAGACCAAATCCTTGATAACTTCAATCTTTTCCCCACTTTTTGTGATGTTACCTATTAGTCCAGTTATGAAGATTTAGGACTTCTTTACATTGAGTTGTATTCTTTACTGAAGGCTGCAATCCTTGGTCTTCATCAGCAAGTGCTTCAAGTCTTCCTCACTTTCAAGAATCAAAGTCTGTTCAACATTTAGCACCCAGCCTGGTTTTAACTGCCGATATTGAACTACTCTATTTTCTCATCCTACAGAATTAGTCAATTTGATTTCGGTGTGTTCCAGCTGTAGAAGTACATGTGTATCGCCACAGTTTGTGTTTTTGAAAGAAGCTATTTTCTGTGAACCAAGTCATCGTCTTGCAAAATTCTTTTATGCTATCCCCAGTTTCATTTCTGTTGCCAAGGCCATATTTTCCAACTACTCTTCCTTCCTCTATGTTTCCATATTTTGCCACCTGTCAATCATTATCAAGGCTCCTTATTTGGATATTTGATCAATTTCAGACTGTAGATGTTTATTGAGATGTTTACCTGCTCACACATCAGAGGTAGATCGGTTTTCTTTTATCTTTACTCCAACTCTAGTGTCTTTACCTTGTGTTCTATGTGCTACTGTTTTACTGGCACCTTAAAAATGGATGTTTCTTTTTAAAAATTTTACTGTATCTTCTTAGCAGCCATCTGTCACCACCTGTCATGTTTGCAGCATCAAGGAATTATTTCTGGTGCCCTGTTTTGTCCCCAAGATTTCTTCTGGGAACTTAGTGGAGGTCAATGGGAAAGAACTTATGAATTTGAAGTTTCCTTTATCAGAAGCCACATCTAGCTCAGGATGGTATTCTAACCCAGTTTGCCTTACATAGTTCTTTAAAATTTCAGCTGATTTCTGGTGCTCTTTTTCCTGTGCTTGGAATGATGTGTCTGTATTTTTATTACTTGGTTGTCTTAGTACATGAGCTTTGTACTTTGCCTAGACCTTTTTACTTTATTAGGGAGAGAGAATAAGCATTCTTTGTAGGTTTATGCATCCTAATTAGAAGCAGGAATTCCTATTTAACTTTTAAATAAGAAAATCCCAGAAATAATAAATTATTTGATCATCTAATTATTGCGATATTTATTCTTTTTAAAATTGAGAATATTTTAATAGACACTTTCTTCCTCTGACAAGATTACTTCCAGAAAATAATGTTAAAGGCCACAGAGAAGTGATTATATGGAGAATTGGCCAGCAGCAATGTGAATTATTAGACACATCTTTAATTACATAGTGATAAAATATACAAAATAGGCAGTAAAATAAAGAATTGGATCAAAGGACAAAGGACAAAGATGAAGAAGAGGAAGCAGAGCAGGGAGTAAGAAGAAAGAATGGATTATGTATTTTCAGTCCACCCTAAGGCAAAGGAACTTGATCTTGCAGCAAAACATCTTATGATCATCCTAAGATCCATCAAAACCCTGAAAACCTAGCACTCTCCCACTTCTTTGGCAGCTTTCCAGTCAGAGTGCTGCAGTGACTGATGTGCATGGCTTCTAAAGCAAAAGTCTCTTTGTGTGCATTATACTGTGCGCATCTCAGTTTTGAAATAATATGACCTAAAGCAGCAGATTGCTTCCACTGTGATGCTAATATGAAATGTCAGTGCTTCTTTTTCAGAATGTGCACATTTCAATGAAAAAGCACTTTGCCCGTTCACCAGGTCTGTTAGAGAACTATTATTTTAAAATTATAAGTGATGTTTCACATTATTATATGAACACTAACATATTATGCATGTGACTGGAAAAACTCACAATAATTTCTCACAGATGGCCTGGATTTAGAGAGGACTTTTTTGCTTGGTTTAGCCTAAAGGTGTGGGGAAGACTGCTTCTCTGTGACAGCATTGAGGTCGAAAAGCTTGCTCATCAAGTCACCACTTGTTTTTAGCAATAGAATCTGCGGATGGTCATATTTTCCAGCTGTATTATTGGAATAATGTTTTGCTTGTCTGGAATGTATATGCTAATTTGTCCCAATTTAGAATAATTGGGAAATTCTAATTTCATTAGAATATTAAATAATTCAATGTATTCCTTTTTATTCATATATTCAGGGAAGCTTAGAATTAAATTTTGTTGTAATTGTTTTGAGTTATCCTCTTTTACATGTATACACAAGTTGTTAACAAAATGGTCTTTGGAAATGGATTAATTATACATTATTTTGGCAGCATATCTTTAGTTTTCATATACTTAAATGAAACATGAATGAATAAAATTTTTGAAGCTTTGCGTTTTGGCCTTTTCATTCCCCACTCTCCTGCATATTACATTGCTTGCAGTATTCAACTAGAATCTTAGTGGGGATTTTTCGGTTGTCTTTTGAATAGTACAGTACTTCATTTCAACTGATGCCTATATACTTTTTCAGAAAAGAATTACTAGTGATACACTTATTCTTATTTTTAGCAAGGCCAGAGAAGATCTGCTGAAAACTCAAAAGGAGCGTGATTTTCATCGGATGCATCATAAGCGAATAGTCCAAGAAAAAAACAAATTAGTTAATGATATCAAAGGGTAAGCTGGTATTTGTTGAAATATTTATTAAGCTATTATGTAATTTGTGAAAAGTTACTATTATTAACTTCTTGAGTAGCACCTATGATAAAATATTTCAGGAAAAACGGTCATTCAATATTTAGTAAACATCTACTGTGTACCAGACACTAAACTATGTGTTTGAAGAACAAAATAAAGATGAGTGGGCCTAGGCCCTTTCTATCAACAAGAGACTAATAGGGGAGGGAAACAAAAGGCTGCAGAATGTGTTATATATTACACTTTATATGTACCATACTGTTGTTATGCCAGTCACTTACCCATATCGAAACATGAGAAATTGAATTCTGAAAAACAAGTAAGAATGACTAGATTGAGGTAATGTGAGCAGGGTTCCCTGGATACCAAGCCATCAAGGCAGTTGACGTCTTTGCCAGCCTGTAAGCAGAGAGAACAAAGTGCAAATGAGATTCTACAAGTGGGGCTACATTTTATGAATAGCTTTGAAATTATATTGAGACATTTAGAAATCATTTGGAAGATGTTCAGATTTGTTTAACTTACCTCTCTCCTCCACCCCGTTCCCCAAATAACAAAGAGTTTACAATCCATAACTCAAAGTCTCTGTTGCTTGCTCTAGGGCAATACTGTCCAATATAATTTTCTCTGATGATAGAAGTGTTCTGTATCTGCACTATACAATACAGTAGCCACTGGCTGCATTGAACACTTATAATGTGCCAGTTCAACCAAGGAACTTTTTTTAAGTTAAAAAAACTTAATATACCTTTAAATAGCCATCTTAAGCTACCATATTAGACAAAAAAGTCTGCCAGTTTGTCATACTTTTGTGGATTTTTGTTACTGCAATGCTGGAAACTATGCCACCAATATTTCAGAAGTACACAGGATCACCCCTCATGGACAGGTTTCATGGGCACTTCCCAAGGCAGCCTAGGAAGAAGGTTCTGGTCATCTATTCCTCCCCAAACCCAATAATTTTCCAGTGAAAACCTTATAAATAGCAATAGAATATTTTGTGATATAGTGACAGAAGACGAGCCCCTCAGGCTAAATATATGACTCAGGAGTAGCATCTTCTTCAAACTAAAGTAATAATGCTCAGAGTAAAGCTTTCAGGACTTTCAATTGCCGGTGAGGGTGTGGTGAAAATGGAAGCAATCAACATGCCAAGAAATTTTAAAGACAGCTGCTGGGTCAACCAACTGAAAGAAATCCATATTTTTTCCCAATCCAAAAAAAAAGAAACCAAAAAAACAAAAAAAATAAAAAAAAAAGTGGTCAATACTTTTGCCAGTTAAATATTGCTGAAGATAATTAAAAATGGTTGCAGTAGTACATTGCCAGGCAACTGCCATAAAGTCACGCCTGACTCTGAAAAGGACATGGAACAAGGGATATCATTACTGATGTTAGCTAGATCTTGGCTGAGATCAGAGAATACCAGAAAGATGTTTATCTTTGTTGTCTTGATTATGCAAAGGCACTTGATCATAATAAATTATAAATAACCTTGAGAAGAATGGGAATACCAGGACATGACTTAGACCAAACGGCAATCATTCAAACAGAGCAAGAGGATACTGCCTAGATTAAAACCAGGAAAAGTTTGTGTTAGGGTTCTATTCATTCATCATACTAATTACTCTGAGAAACTGCACGGTCTGGAGAAGAACATGGTATCACGATTGGAGGCGGGTTTATTAATAACCTGTGTAATTATAGGTGGTGTACTCATGTTTGCTTAAAGTCAGGAGGATTTGAATAACTTGCTGATGAAGATCAAGGATTTTCACTCTTCAATACAAATTGTGACTCAGTGTAAAGGAAACCCAAATCCCCACAATTGGCTCACTAGATAACACCCTGACGAATGGAGTAGATTGATCTGCAAAGGATTTCATCTTGCATGGATCCACAGTCAGTGTTCATGGAAACAGCAATCAAGGAACCAAAGGAAGCATTGCACTGGGTAAATCTGTTGTACAAGATTCCTTTAAAGTGTGCAGAGCAAAACGTCACTTTGGGGATCAAGGTGTGCCTGACTCAAGTCGCGGTATTTTTTAATCACACCGGCATTTGGCAATTGGATATTGAATAAGGAAAACTACAGAAAAATTGAAGCATTTGAATTACGGGTCTGGCAGAAATATTGAAGGTATCATGGACAAATAGATCTGTTTTGGAGGCAGTGTAGCCAAAATGCTCCTTAGATGTGAGGCTAAGGAAACTTCATTTCATGTACTTTGGTCACTTTTCTTAGAAGAGATCAGTCCCTAGAAAAGGACCCCATTCTTGCTAAAATATAAAGAAAACTCCAAACTTGCTGCCATTGAATCAATGCTGATTCATAGTGATCCCTTGTGGGTTTCAGAAACTAACTGTCTTTGGGAGTAGAAAGCCCAGTCTTTTCCCAAGGGAGCTGCTGTTGGTTTTGAATTGTTGACCATTCTGATTGCCGCCCAATGCATAACCACTACACCACCTGGCCTCCTGGTAAATTATACATGCAATGAAAAGAAGATCACTGATGCGATGGATTGACAGAAGTGGCTGCAATAATACCCTCAAATGCAACAACTGTGAGGCTACTGCAGGGCCAGACAGAGTGAGTTTCGTTCTGTTGGAACAGGGTAGCTCTGAGTGGGAATCTACTGGATGGAGCCAACATCATACCAGCAATGGCCTGGGCCATTTGGATCATTCAGTTTATTATGGGCTCCCTAAGCACAGATCCCTTATTCAGTGTTTCCACTTCATTTATTAGAAAAGGATACTGAAACATGAATTGAGTGTTGGCTTATAATAAATCAAATTGAAATGGCAGACTTGCCTTGGTTTATTGTAGAGAAGATATACAAAGGCTTGGGGAAATTGGTCTGCTAGAGTGGATTTATCATTTGGACTTATTGAGCCATTGATGGAGTGCCCAAGGTACTTAGCTTTCCACACAATGGGTGAACAGCACTTTTGTGAAAGGAGCAATAGCATCTTTGAAAATTGCTGTAAATGGTCAGTAAATCAGATTTGACAGTGGGAACTTCCCTAATTGAAGTAAGATACTTTGCGACAATAGGTCTGAGTGGACCCCGTGGTGGGAGGACCAGTTACCAAAAAAACCAAAATCACTGCTATTGAGTCATATCTTGACCCATAGCAACCCTAAAGGACAGGTGGAACTGCCACTGTGGATTTCTGAGACTGTAACTCTTCATGGGAGTAGAAAACCTCATCTAGCTGGTGATTTTTAATGACTGGCCTTTTGGTTAGCAGCCCAACAAAAGACAAGCTGGGCATGGTTACTGTATTGGAAGATCGAGGTCAAAATGATAATCAGGGTAGTCTGACTAACCTGGACGTATGGCATTGGCTCCTTAATCATGGTGTACTTAGAAGCAAAATAGACGGGGAATCTCCTTACTAAATATATACTTGATATGTAGAAGCAGAATTCTAGACTGAGTGTTGGCAGTTTAACTTGAATCACCAGCAGAAGAGTTATGGTCTCCTCCATCAGTTCCCAAACTTGAATCAATTTACAGACCCACAACCTCTTGAATGAAGGGAGGTCAGGTTCCCTTGAGGGAAGACACCACTACACTGCTAAAAATTTATACTGTTAATCTATAACCCTTTATAAGAGTGACTGTTCTTTGGGGAAAAAGAAATAATCATATTTTTAGGCCATACTGGGCATACACTCTGAACTGGCATGACTTTTAGGAGGCCAAAATGTCACTGTGGACCAGCATTCAGAATGGGGGCATATAAAGGTAAGGTTTATTAATGAAACCTTAGCTTATGCCTGTCTCACAGTGGTCCAGTACATCACTGAACATGTCTTGTAGTTACTCCTCCAGTTCCAGAAGGCACAGTGTGAATAGACATATTTAGCAGCTTGTAGAACAGGCTCACGGGATACCAGATACATGGAATAAAAAATATCATGGTAGGAAAGGCTAAAATGAAATCATTAAAACTTCTTCTAACAAAGAAAATAGTACACCAAAATCAATACTGCATTCCTAGAGGGATTGCAGAGACCATTGTCATCACCAATATAACTTGAAGAATACAGGGATGGTGATTCCCATAACCTCCCAATTCAACATGCCTATTTAACCTATGCTAAAAACAGGTAGATCTTGAAGAATGACTGTGAATTATTATAAACATAATCAGGTGGTGGCTTCAATTGCAATTGTTGCTCCTGATGGAATTTCAATGTTTGAGCAAACTAATGCATCTCCAGGTGCCTGCATAGCAGGCTATTGCTCTAGCTAGTTCCTTTTTCTCCACACTTGTTTGGAAGGAATGCCAGAAGCAGTTTGCCTTCAGGTGGCAAAGCCAGCAATACATCTTCAAGGTATTGCCGCAGAGTTATATCAACTCTGCAACACTATATCACCATTTAGTTCAACATATTGAACAGGTCTGTTATATTGATGACAGGCATTACGTTAAATGGACCCAGATCAAGGTGAACATGTACAGCAGTACTCCATCATTACATAGAAATGATATTTCTGAGATCAGGGCTTGAGTAGGACATGAAGGCACAAATAAGCAACATGAGAATGTGGCAAAAAATTCCAAATGATCTCCACTCTTGACACATTACTGTCCTTTTCCTAAGCTGAACCTATGAGCACATGGAAAGTTCCTTATGGTCGGTTTACTGAAGAAGAGAATACTCCTGTTTGGTTTAAAAATAATTCAATATGCACATGCCACTCAATAGTGGACAAAGTAGCCCTAGAGCCCGATCTCTCTGAACGACATTGGTAAAGGAAAATCGTTCTGATGGATAGGATTTTAGTAGCACAGCTGGTTGTTCATTTTGTTTGAGACAGTCAGATGGGTGATTGTATACTGGCTTATGAGATATGGCCAGCGATTTAGCTGTCTGAGTAAGGTTTGGGAGGGAATATGTTTGGAAAATCAGTAACATAGAAGCATGAGGGAAATGTATGTGGATAGGCCTGTCAGAATGGGCC